AATACGGCTGTAATTTTCTGCTCCATTGGAATCGCATGCGCCGCTTAATCGAACCTAACCCAAAATTGTTTATTAAAATTACTCCTCATCACTTTTTATATTGTCTCATGACGTGAATCAAAGCGCAACTCAAAAAAATTTACAAATTGCTGACAATGTAATCACATAACGCCAAATAGCTTAATTTTCAGCACATCTATATATATGTCTGTATGTATACATAAATATTCACCACACATCAATTCAGCAAAGCTCATGTTAACAACACATTTAGCGTCAAAACGGCATTGCCACAATTAAGCTTTTAAAAATACAAACTCTTAAATGCATATTGTAACAAGCCGCAAAACACTCGACTAGCGACTAAATACGTAACTATAATACGGGCATACGTACATACTTATATACCGGGAAGTATAAAACCGCTAACCGCAGCAATGGCAATAACATTTTAAAACCGTAAAATCCGCTGCAGACAAGTGCCACAGCGTCGAAAAGATAAACTACAAACACACAGGCACAGGTATAAATATACATATATGTAATATACATATTATATATAATATGCAGGCACTTCACGTCTATGTATGTGCGCATACGCTACTGTAAATACCTATAAAGATACACAACCGCAGATATGGCTAATAAAAATAAAACTAAAATTGCCATACGAAAACGATGCTGTGGCAAGCGCACAAGCTGAACATGCAAAACACACAACAACAAAAAAAAAACCTAGTTAAATAAATAAATAAGGTAAGATTAAACTAGTTTTCCCTGTCAGCGAGCACATTTGCATACTTTAAGGCGCAATGCAGACGGCACGCAAACATAATGAGATTGCTTGCTGCTCGCTTCAAGCGCACGAAGAGGGGAGCAAGCGACGGAGAACGTAAAAAAAAAAGTGGCACGTACCATTTTTTTGTTAGTGTATGTATGTATGCGTGTGTGACATATATGTGTTGTAACGGCAAATTCAGCTTTTGCTAACAAAAACTCCTTTGCAAGCTTCGCAGATGTATAATAACAACAACAAAAATAACAATAACAGCAACCATATTACACAGCCTAAACAAATAAGCTTAAGCGCGCTTAAATATGCTACAAACAAATGTGAAACACACAAATACTAGCCGTTGAGGGAAGAAAGCGCCTGAAAGCATGCTTTATTTTGACAAAAAGCCACCAGCGCCATGCTACCGCTATTGCTGTGATTACGTTGAACTTGGATTTTTGAGCTTTGATGGACCTGCCTCCACTAAGTAAACAAACGTAATGAGTAGTATAACAACAACAGAAACAATAATAACACGGCGCTGTTAAGCTGCCTCAAAACCATGCGGCGACCAAAGTAAGCATAACAAGAAACTTGTAAAACAATATGCACAAAAACAAAAAAAAAAAAACAATGTGGAAAAAAGAAAACTAAAGCAAAAAAAATATATATTAAGAGTAGATGGATGTTAGCCAAATGAAGGTGAGGAGAGCGCAAAATCGCCAGCGCATATTAGCTTAGATGTCAATCCGCCAGCATAAACATGCGTTTTGTGTGTGTGTGTGTGTGTGTGTGTGTGTGTGTGTGTCGTTATTCAACAATATATATTTACTAATATAAAAACAAGAAGAAACAGTAACTTCGGTTGCACAGAAGCGATACCCTATACAAATTTTTTTTTGATAGGTTAGTTTGTATAGCAGCTATAAGCTATAGTTCTCTGATTTGAATAATTTCTTCGGGAACGATGTAGTTGGATTAGACAATAAACATTTCCCAATTTCTTGAAGAAAACTCGTCAAATGAAAACGCTTTCCATACAATTCCTATATTCTGATCGTTCCATTTGTATGGCAGCTACATGCTATAGTGGTCCAATATTTACCATTCCGACAAATGATCAGCTCTTTTGTGAGAAAAATACGTGTGTAAAATTTCAGATTCATATCTCCAAAACTGAGAGACTAGCTCGCGTATATACAGAGAGCCAGACACAGCTAGACCGACTTAACTCGTCACGCTGATCATTTATATAACTATTATATATCTCTTAGGGCCTCTACTGTTTTTGTTTAAGTGTTACAAAACATCGCAAACTTAGCATAACCTGTACTGGATATAAAAAATTAAACTCATAACCACAACAGCATACTTATCAAAGCTGATTGTCTCAGCGCCGCTGCCGACTTTCGTTCGACACAGCGCCGACTTTGCGTTAAAAATCCAAATGAGCATATGTGCCCCGCATTTTCAAGTGGCAGGAGACGAAAAGTCCAGCGCACTACTACATGTCGGTTACTAAGCTCACATTTCTATGTATATGTGTGTGTTGGAGTGCGCCTGCTGGCTAGCTGCTAAGCCGATTACGGGCACAACGCATAAATAAGTTGTTGTCGACGCACATGTTCATAACATGCGCTTGCCTGTCATGTAGCGCTCATCCGCTAGACACTTGTTATGCGCCCGACTTGCTGCAGCTTGCTAGCCCCTCAGACTTTTTTTCACATCTCGAATTCTGACCTGCTTGGTCTTTTTGCTTCGGCTTAAGCGCGTTCTTTCGTTGCGTTGCCTGGGGTGACGCTTGTTAAACAAAGCATCCACAATATTCTCTAGATTGATGTGGCAATCTTGGTCACTGTTGGTTTACTCATTGTTTTTGTTGTAATGCGAGTTTTTTTTTCCTTATTTTGCTTTGTTCTTTTTTCTTGTTGCTGTTTGTTTTTGTATTTAGTCGTCTTAAGTCATATCGTGCTCGACATATAATATTAGGCGTTGTTGTGGGTGTGATTCATCGCTCTACCACAGACCCTTATATATTGTGTGTCATACTATACATATATATAAATATATATATATACTATATGTACATATAATTTGTCCTGGTTTTGTTAATGAGCGTAGGCTTTGCAATTGACTGCCTCTTATGATTTTATTTTTTATTTTTTTTGTAATATCTTTCGTTATTCAATGTTGATTTTATGCTTACAAGATTTATTAATGTCCAAGTTTAGTGAAAACACCGGAAATACATAAATTAATAGTGAGCTGGTGGTCAAAAGAGCTTTGTATTTAATTTTTTTACTATAAAACTTAAGTCTGTCAGGTTGTTAGCGGTAAATTTAATTATGAAATTTTTAGCAATATTTACATATTTAAATTTCTAAATTCTTTGCATCGATTTTTTTTTTGTTTAGTTGCCAGATTGGTAGAATCAGTGTGCATATTTGTTTCTCAATACTGAAACCCACTCTTGACTGCACCAAGTGTTCAAAAATAACTTTCATTCTATTCTACAAATTCTGCTTTCAACAAAACTTATGTTTTTCATAAACTTGGCTCAAACCAAAACCAAATTAAAGCACTTTATGAAGCTTACATTTCGACTTCACAGAGGGAGCTGGGTCCTAGATTCGTAAAATCAGTCCGTCAAAATAATATTTTCTGCTTCTTAACTGTCATTAACTTTGCGGGGATACCAAGTTCACGCAAGGTGGCCTAAAGGCAGTCCCATTTCGTGCTGTCGAAGGCGGTTTTAAAACTGACAAAGAGCTGGAACGCCACATCTTCCTTTCACGGGTCTTTTCCAAAGTTTGACGCATGGTGAAAATCTGATCGAAAGTAGATTTTCCAGTCCCAAAGCCACACTGATAAGATCTAATCAGTTGTGTGTGGGCTTCAGTCTTTCACACGCTCGATAAGACCTTGTATGCGATATTAAGGAGGCTTATCGCACGGTAATTGGCGTAGATTGTGGCTTCCCCTGTTTGTGGATTGGACATAACACGCTTCCCCTCGCCGGGTATACTATTATCATACCATATATTGCAAAGAAGCTGATGCTTTCACCTTTTCAGTTCTTCGTCACCGTATTATAATAGCTCGGCCGCTAATATATCGATCCCTGCCGCTTTGTTGTTCTTCATGTGGGTAACTGCTATTTGAACCTCATCATAGTCGGGCATAAAAACAGCTTTTCCATCATCATCGATCGGGGAATCGGGTGCTCTGTTTCCAGATGTTACACATTCACTGCTGTTCAGCGGGCTGGAGAAGTGTTCCTTCCATTACTTCAGTATGCTCTGAAGTTCTTACAACCTTCTGTTAGTCGCTGCATCTTTTCGTAGTACTTAAAGTATCACGCAAATAAAAGATACGAGTGCGCAAAATCCCAAAATCTCATTTTAAAATAAAACCAAAATAAAACTCCATCGAAACCCTTGGCTTGGGTTAACATGTCGACTTCACAGATGGCGCTTGCTTTAAATGTGATCAGTCAGAAGTACGATGAAGCTCAGAAGTATAATACAACACAATTTCTCGTTGCATAAAAAGTCGATAATTTTAAAATACTTCGAACTTAATCTCTTTTCAACTTGCTTTGATTTTAGTTTGACCGAAGGATTTCCAGTTATTTTTTAATTAAGAAACGAAAATGGTACCATTCCTAATGAGAATGCTTAGGGTTTTTGTCTGTGATATTTGCTGCAATACAAAAAATTGTCTAAGGTGCTCGAAATTTAAAAAAAAAAAATGTTGAAACGAAAATATTTAATATATGTATGTCCACATATGCTTTATTAACGCTAAAACGTTCAGGCCAACAATTTATTTTAATTGCCTTGATAATGAAACAATTTCGGACTAGTGTATGTGGGGCTGAAAGGTTTGTGTCGCCACTGTTTGTTGCAATACAAAATATTATCCGAAGTGCTCGAAATTCAACAGCGCGATAAAAGAAAAAGTCAATACTATTTAATATGCATCCTCAAATGCTTCAAAAATGTTAAAATGTTCATAACAACAACCTATTTTTAGCCCATTGGTCTATCTCTCTAAGTTAAGAGGCTCGATATTTAGCTTCCTCAACTTAATGACTGGAGCTTATCTGGTCTGAAATCACTGGCAGCGCACTAGTGGCAATTATAAGATTTATAAATCACTCGTAATTAATAAACGAGGAATGCAAGCTGCAACTTTAGTTCAAATTTATCTCAAAAACTTTTACTATAGTTTGTAAAGTGTTTTGTATTTATCATATTTACGCAGAAACAAAAATATATGTACAATTAAATACCGAGTCTAAAAAATTTTCGGTCATCTATTTATTCAGATGCTATGGTAACATAGATCTTTTCCTTATAAATATCCGCTCATTTTCGACGCCTCTCCTCCGCCGCTTCATCCACCTCGTCACTGTTGTAGTCGTTCTCCTCTGAATTCAGCATACGCGCACATAACATCATGCCAAAGCTATATTCGCACGGATCATCTTCCATATCATTGGCGGCTTTACACTCGAGCATATTCTCGTAGCTTTCATCATTCAAAATGCCCCATTCATGCAATGCCTCCGCATCCAATTTGCCATTTGTGTTCATGAAACCCATGCCATTTAGCAGACAATCGGCGTAACATTTGAATTTCATATCGATATCTTCCGGACTCGGATCGGTGGGAAATTCATCCAGTTCCTGCAAGGTGATGTTGTGTTTCACTTGACACGCCTCTACGAAACTGCGTGTGGGCGCGGTTGGTGTCTGGTAAAAAGAAAAAAAGCGAGGGGAAATGGATAAGAAGTCAAAAAGAGAGAGATAGAGATAGATATAGATATATAGATACCTAAAGAAAGAGAGTTAAAGAAAGCAAGACAAATTGAGGTGGATAAAGAGAGAAAAGCAGGTGGAAAAATTGTTTATGTCATAGAAATGTGGAACTAATATCAAAAGTGTGGATTTCGAAAAAGGTGGAGAAAACAAAGCGGATAGAGTAAAAAGGTAAAAATAAATATAGACAAAGAAGGTAAGACGCTGATTTAATAAAATATCGGCATTTTCAATAGGAACGCTACATAAGTAGATCGAAAGGGAAAGAAAACGATGTCATAGCCTTTCGCGTTCTTTTGACATTTCTCTTTAATAAGGTTTGCCATTCCATCATGGAAAGATATACGATCCAACATCGAGTTGAAATTATTAAAATTTATTACCGAAATTCGGAGTCAGTGGTCTCAACTTTAAGAGCGAGCTGGCAGTTCAACATTAGAGCGTCTAGTGGAAAAATTTGAATCCACAGGCACAATACAAAATGGTCCCGGCCATTGAGACAAAAAAAGTGTCCGTAGTGTCGAGAATATTGTTGTCGCAGCGCATCAATTGAGGAAGACTTAAATCAGTCTCTCACACGCCGTTCTCAAGCGTCTCTCTGACGTCGTTGTGGCGAATTTTGGAAAAAAATCTTGACCTACATCCCTAAAAGATGAAATCGACGCAAGAACTGAAACCGCTTGACCACTAGAATCGTCGTATGTTCCTGAATTCGGTTGAGCAACAATTTGAAAATGATCCCGATTTTCATCGAAAAATCATCTTCAGCGATGAGGCTCATCTCCGGCTGAATCCACACGTACTCCATGAGTCACCACTGCATTCTTCCGTGATGATCACGATCGGCACGTTACTGTGATGGGGAAACGCTACCGCTCAATGACAACCGAATATTTTTGGCTCGAATTGGATGATATGGACTTGGACAATGTGTGTCGGAAGAAGCAGAGGAAAAGGAAGGCCATTAGAAAGACCAGATGTAGAAGCAACTGTATTCGCTTGGAATCTGCGATTGGTGCCAATAAGTTGAGAACTAAATATTGTTAAAACATTTGATCAAATTTTGCTGTCACGCTAATTAAGCGCTGCCTTACATTTTTTGCTGGATATCCAATGCAGAAATCTATTACTTTTGTTTTTTTTGAAATTGCGAAAAACTCTACTTGAATAAATAGTATGGAAATTTTATCTAATATTCGAAAGTATATCGAGTTCGCTCCTTTGAGCTCTTTGTGTGCACAGCATAACCTATTAAAGTTCATTAAAAATATACTTTGCTTTCACTGTACCAATGCGACGGCGCCAGGTGGCAACGTAAACCCCACAATAACCGCCAACAACACCAACCACATGAGTCCAGGTATCGGCATTCCTTTGCCACCGCCCGCAGGCAACACAGTAGCGCTCATTATTGCTGTTGTTGTTGCGTGTTTTTCATGTGCACCAAATTGATACATCCGCAACAAGTTGTATGCGCAATACAAAAGCAAAAAAGCTCAAAAACGAAACTGTACACTTAGCAAAAACGCGAATTTATTTTCTGACTTTCGCACGAAATCAGCACACAGCAAAGGAAATGGAAATGTTCAAACAAAAAAAAAACACAAAAATTTCACGGCAATTGCCAACGCCACTCGACTCGTTCGACTCGCTCGCCACGTTTCCACTTCACAGAGCGTTTTTGCCCTCCGTTCTGGCTGACAAGTGAGAACTTTTTTGCACTAATGAAAAACTTTCGGCGCCGTTGCACATTTTTATATGCGAAAAGTTTTGATTCGATATTGTTTTTGGCCGACGCCAGCAGTCAGCAGCCAGCAGCCAGCAGCCAGCAGCCGGCGATTACGCCAACAACTGCGCTTTTGTTCGCGGCAGCAGTAAAAATGCAAACTCAATAAAGCGGCGGATAAAAATTAAAAGTCGCGTTTGTAAGCGCAATTTCGACGCAAACGCTTGCCACACCGCGCTTCCGTGCGACGCCACCGAAATCGTCAAAGCTGCATTATAACTACATGTGTTTGTGTGTGTGTGTGTGCGTTCGCTGGCTGAATATAGTATAATAGGACCTTCATAATTTAATTACACTGATTCCGGTTGCAGATAAATGCGCCTCGGTGTGGTCGTGATTAAAACTTCGTGTGCGGATAACTGCAATAACAACAACAACAACGCATACAGTAGCATCGCCACAAACGAATGTGCGCTTTGATTGTCATCGCACCCAAATTAATTGCAATTGAGATTTAAATTATAGTAATTATTTAGAGATGCGCTGATAGCGCGATTACAATCTTTAACTGTAAATGAGTTGCACCAATATGCATAATTATGCAGCTGCCGGGGATTTTTGTGTGATAGATTGAGTAAGTGAGGTTATGACTTTTCTTTGCAGGTACTTTTTAAAAACTTTGTGTGTAATTATAAATATTTGTTCATATAGATAGCTATGTACAGCTTCAGAAATCTTTTGCGGCGCTGAAAAGGAGGCAACTATTTTTTATGTGAGGTTATGCTTTCGGTTTGCGGTTACTTTTAAACAATTTTACCTCGATTATTACTTTCTAATATAAGTAGCTGATTCATATAGGCTTTAGTTATTTTCATGGCGCTCAAAAGTAGGCAACTAACTTTATTAATGGATGCCTTCGCTTTGCATTAATTTTTAAATAATTTCGCTACAATTATCAACTATTAATCAGATATTTAGCTATCTACAATTCCAGAAATTTTTCATGGCGCTGGAAATTAATTTTATTAGTATGGTTATGCTTTCGGTTTTCATAATTTTTTATATAATTTCTCTACAATTGCTAATAATTGTTCATATATGTAGCTATCTAAAACTTTAAAAAAGTTTCTAAGCGCTGAAAAGTATGCAACTGAATTTAAGTGTAAGATTGTGTTTATAGTTTGCAGTCACTTTTAAACAATTTCACATAAAACATAGCGGATTCTTATCACTTTGCTTAATTTCCATGGCGCTTAAAAGTGGGCAAGTATTTTAATAAATAAGATTATGCTTCGCGTTGCAAATATTTTTAAAGGATCTCAATATAATTATTAAAATCTGTATATAGCTGATTTATTCATACAATATGGAATATTTTTCTTGGCGCTGAAAAGTAGGCAAAGAATTTTAAAGTCGTATGGTAGGTCCTCAAATTACAATATTCCGACAAATAGTATTCGAAATAATTTATTATGTAGAAAATTAAGCAAGTTTTTCATGGCGCTGAAAAGTATGCAACTAATTTTTAAGTTTTTGGTTTTCAGAAATTCATACATAACTTCCTTTCAATTATTAAAATTTGTTATTTTATAGCCGATTTATATTACTTCGGTTATTTTTCATGGCGCTTAAAAGTAGGCAACCGTTTAAGTAAGTAAGGTTATGCCGCGGTTTGCAGATATTTTTAAACAATTTCAATATAATTGCAAAAATTTTTTATCTAAATAGCTGGTTTGTACAATTTGAAATATTTTTCATAGCGCGAAAATGTAGGCAACGAAATTTTTACTGGCCGAGCATATCTCTTCGATCGGAATACTAGAGAATTCGGTTGGCATACAAACTGACCGATCAACCAATATTAATAATATCTTTTTTACTCTGTTATGCTATAAGAAATGCAGCTGCAAACGGTATTTTAAGCCATAGTTAACGTTTTAGCTCGTTTTCTAAATGTTTTAGAACCACAAGCTGCGCAAAAAATTCAGCATATAGCATTTTTATTGCTGAGCGTTCTAATCATCACTTTTATCGTCAATTTTAAAGATTAATGCGTCTTCAGCGCTCATTCAACATTCATGACCATTCCGCCATCAAAGAAAAGTAAGCGGCAAATAAACTTTTCCATTGCACCATCAACGCTTATATTTGCTTGAAGCGTCTAGTTTTTCTAGGCGCACGCTCACCTTATCATCCACTTGACGTAATTACCCCATTCATGCACTCGTTTGCCGTTGTAAAGGTTAAAATTTTACACTGCTTTTCAAATTGCTCGAAACTTAGGTGTACTTAGGCGTATGTATGTATGCACAGTTTTACCTATGTATATATTTATATAGTTTGGCTTTGCTCAACTCCGCATTTATTCCGCTCGCATTGCTGTCATGCACCGCAAACACCGTCAAAGTCAATGGCCAGTCATTAGAGTTGATGTACTACTTGTAGTTGCAACTTACTTACTTGCAACTAGCATTTGTTGCAATGTCCTGCCATGCAATATGGGGTTTTTTCCATCTATGGTATTTACAGCTTTAAGTGGGGGTAAACAAGTTCTCTAATAATGCTCGCAAGTAAACACGCGCACAGATATACATATACATACACACATATTTTGTATGTAAGTATGTGCGTATGTGTGACTTTGTGCGTTGCATAGAGAAAAATATTACGAAAAGTTGCAATTTGCAGCAAACATCAGTGCAACAGCGCATAAAACTTTTGCACTGAACTTTAGTGTGCATGTGTTGGCTTGTGTGAGTGCATGTGAGTKTGTGTGTGTTTAAGTTTAGTTTTGAGGTTGCTTACTTTTCATTACTCCGGTTTAGTGCCTCGCTGCATGTTTTTGTTGATGTTAGGGCTGATGTTGCCGCAGATGCTGATGTGGTGATGCTTTATAATTGTTGTTGCTACCGTTGTTTTTGTTGTTGTATGTACGCTTTGTTGGCAATTGCTTTGGCTTGCTGAGTTGCTAAATATTTTCCGACACTTCCGCACAGCTGTAAATGAGTATATAACGGCACACAAACCCAAACACATATATACATACATATATATATATATTATATAATCCAAGTATATACATAAACTACTTTTACCTACACACATTCAGTTAAAAATGTTAAGTTTTATCATGTGTCACGCATATAATTATGCATTTTAAGACCGCAGTGAGTTAATTATGACATTCCTGTGACCTGCTTCTGAAATTAGAGAAATTATATTTGCTAAACGCAACCACACATGGGTCCTTAGGTTTACGCATGCTTGTTCCATCGCATATACATATACATATATAYGCACATTTATATATAATATGCACACAGGTTTATTTTATTAAATAAATGTGCGCATATTTTGACCTGTCAAAATGGTCAGCAGACTTCTCACAAACACTATCATAAGAACTTAAATTATTCATGGAGTCATAGCACCACCCGACCCTACTGTATGTTTTTACCGTTATACGTATTGTTATTTACATATACATATAGAACTAGTAGCCTTCTATGAACCACATTGTGGCAAATTGTTGTCAATTAGTGAGTGGTCAATGCTCGTGAGGCAGGTAATTGGCTGTTTTATTTTCATTAGAATGTTAGGATTTTCATAGTTTGAGAGAAAGGATTTTCAGACAAAGATTTTCTGACATAACTTTAAGTGACCTAACTTAAGATAACTTAACTTAACTTAACATAACTTTACTTAACTTAACTTAACTTAACTTAACATAACGTAACTTAACATAACTTAACTTAAATTAACTTAACATAATAACTTAAATTAACTTAACTTAACTTAACTTAAATTAACTTAACTTAACTTAAATTAACTTAACTTAACGTAACTTGACTTAACTTAACTTAACTGTAAATAAATTAACTTAACTTAACTGAAATTAACTTAAATTAACTTAACTTAACNTTAACTTAACTTAACGTAACTTGACTTAACTTAACTTAACTGTAAATAAATTAACTTAACTTAACTGAAATTAACTTAAATTAACTTAACTTAACTTAACGTAACTTGACTTAACTTAACTTAACTGTAAATAACTTAACTTAAATTAACTTAACTTAACTGAAATTAACTTAACTTAACTTAACTTAACTTAACTTAAATTAACTTAAATTAACTTAACTTAACGTAACTTAATTTAACTTAACTTTAGTTAACTTAACTTAAATCAACTTAACTTAATTTAACTTAACTTAACTTAAATTAACTTAACTTAACTTAGCTTAGTTTTACTTAACTTAACTTAAATTAACTTAATAATAACTTAACATAACTTAAATTAACTTAACTTAACTTAACATAACTTAACTCAACTTAACTTAACTTAAGCTAACCAAATTTACTAAGGGTTTCTTTAACTTAACATAATTTTAACTAAGATAAACTGACTACTTAACTTAGAACACCTTAAATAAACTTAACTTAACTTAACTTAAATTTAATTTAATATAACTCACCTTAATTGAACTTAACCTTATCTGACTTATACTAATCTAAGTGAAATGGATCTAACCTAACCTATCTAACCCCATAAAACTAAACTTAATAGAAGGCAATTCAACACCAGCTTTCCTAGCCAATTCCACTTAAGCTAACTTATAATAACGCAAGCTCTCTTAGGTTAACTTAACGAACATAACCTAACTTATATTAAACTAACTCAATGTGAGCTAAGTTACCCAATCAAACCAGCCCGAACTAAGTTAATCTCTTCGCATAATTTAACTTAATCTAAAATGAGCCGAAATTAACTTCACATAACTAAATCTAGCCAAACTTTGTTGGAAGAATCATCCATAATCTAACCACTTATACTAACAAAATACTGATGCCCGAGGAATAATACTCTAGGCTCGAAATCCAACGCTGAATAACTTTTGCCAACAATTGCTACTTCAGGCAATTGAAAAGTAAATTCCTCTCTCGACGAACAAAGATCGAATTCTACGAGATCATCATACCCGTCTTGATATATGGTACAGA